TTGTGGCTCTAGTAGAACACTAACCTTGACCAAAGAAGTCCAAGGACAGCACCCAGGCTTTGAGTTCAAGCCTCTGGACTGGCACACACACACATACCCATACACACGGAGCTATGTTTGGGGGTTGGGATGTAGCTCAGGTATAGCATGCTTGCTTAGCATCCCTAAAATATAAACCACCTAAACTTTGCACATCCTCACATATCACAAATATTTCATATCACAAATGACACAATGAATAAATCACAGCTAATCTGATGCCAGAAAGACAATTGTTAGTATCTAGGTATATCCTGTATCTGTTTTACTATTTCATAATAACCAATGGTAGATATCTACCATTATCCTTGAAATCATTTTTTTGCCACATATAAATTTATCATCTCAATTTTAGAAAATTTTATAGAATGAATTTAAACAGATTTTTCAGAGATTTGAGGCTACATTTTTGTTTCTGTTATTGTTTTTTACAATAAAGAAATATTTTCCTTTTTGAAAAAAAACATCATGGAACTTGACCTCATTTCCAAATCTTTTTTTTTTAATTTCAAAAAATGGTATGATACAGAAAAAAATGATGACTGCCGATTTTACCGTGACCACTAGAGTCCCAACACTGGTGGCAGAAGTAATACAACCAATACCTATAAAATATTTTATTATTATATCATTGAGAATGAGCTCATTCTGAAATAGTTATGGTTCTGAGAGATAACATTGCCAAACACATAAATTGTTAAGAACAATTTTGAGGTTAAATCACTTCTTTATATTCTCTTATTAGTTACATAATTTTTAATTCTCTTCTTCATTAGATATTCATCTAACTTAAATTGAAGAGAATACCATAAGCAATTATTTCTTCCAATTGCTTATTTTTGTTTTAAACTCCTAAGCCCAATATTGTTCTCATTGCATAAAATATGCTACCCATGATTACATAACCAAAAATAACCGTTTGTGTGTGTGTGTGCGCGCGCGTGTGTGTGTGTGTGTGTGTGTGTCTGTCAGTTGTTGGGCTTGAACTCAGGTCTCAGAAGTTGTCCCTGAGCTTCTTTCCTGCCCATGCTGGCTATGAACCATAATTCTCAGATCTCTGAACCACAATCTCAAGATTTCAGCCTCCTGAATAATTAGGATTATGTGCATGAGGCACTAGTACACAACCAATAACCAGTTTTTAATCTGGTAAATAACAAATTGATATTAAACTATCTTTAATTTTAAAAATAAAACTGGCTCTCATGATTATATAACATGTCCTATAAAATCAGGCTAGTCTAGCATAGGTTTGTCAATAATGTTTCTTAATTGACATTACCAGTAAAAGACATTTATAGCAATCTGTTCCAATTACTTATAATTATAAGTTAATACTTATAATTATTGAAGAAAATATTCATTATAGAATTCTTATCATATCTTAAGTGATTAATTTTCAAGAGAATGGTGAAGGTGAGAAAGTAAAGCCAAATATTAGCCTAATATGAGCTTTAAAAATATAACTATATTTAGCAGGGATAGCTTAGAGTTCTGAGTAAACAACTAAACAAGTTCCTCTCAAATCATCCAGAAACACGCTAATGTATCTTTGATCTCAGCTTGGGGTTAGCTAGTTGTAAATATATGCCACTTTCCATTCCCCTGATTTTACCCATCAGTTTGACTGTCCGAAGTGTTACAAATTGTATAATTATCAGCACTGTGTCATAAGTATGACTGGTAATTAAGAGTCATGGCCAACATAGAAGATAATAGAATATACCTGAAAAAAAGATTTGCAAAGATTAAATGCATATGCATAAAGATGAAAAAGAATCAATTAGCACATTAAGAAACTCATATGAGACAAGACAAGATAGAAAGGTTTACCAACCACAGAACTAGGATGACAGAATAATAACACAGGTTGTTTTTGTTTCTTTTTTTTGATATGTCAAGAAGGGTGAAAAATATTAAATGCCAAAAGAATAAAAAATGATTTATGATTAGAGGAAACATCTCATTAATCAGATTTAGGGAGTGATCAGTAAGTACTTGTTACAAAAGACAAAATTCAGCAGTGGTACTCCCTAGACACTATGTTGGAAATGAACTATACAACTTGGGTAGGGAGGGAAGTCTCAAGAGAAAAACTGGGAGAGAATGAGGGAGGGGGTGAAACTGTTTAAAAAGACATGTACCCATTACATGACTGTAACTGTAACCCCTCTGTAATTACCTTTACAATATTTTTTAATGCTTCAGCCTTTTTGTTACATGGAAATGTGTTTGCAAAACTTCTTTCCCATCCATAACCACACACTTCACCCATATGTCTATTTTTACAAAATTCTTTTTAAAGACAAAATTATCATACTGAGTTTTACTTAACTTGAATGCTTGACTACCAGAAACCTATAATCTCCATTAAAAATGGTACAAATTGATAAAGGGAAATATGGAAATGAATTTAATGTTGTTCCTTATGTAACTAATAGAGAAATCACTTCACATTGATCTTAATCAGGATAGTGTTAGCATCATCTCTCCTCATTACTATGTCCTACTTACTTCCTCCTGTCCCAACTTCCTAGGAAAGACTTCTTCCACATATGTCAGTATCCATTACCGATTCTTTAGCCTCTTAACTAGTGTCCTTAAGGAACACTCAAAAAGAAGTAACAAATGTTTACAGTAACTGCAAAAGGACTAATATTATCATCCCAGGAAATGCTTTTATTCTCAGAATGTGAGCAATCCGTCTGTCTATGTTACATATTTTGCTTTTGCCACAAGTATTATAAACTGTTACAAATACAATAGTTTTGCCTTGAATATCTGTGAATTAACTTGTAGTAAAGAAATATGTGTCATAACTTTCTGCTGGTTAGTAACTTCATTGAAAGTTGGTTGGTTAGATTTTCCAAACAGACACAAATATAATAATTTCATGACTTCAATGACCATTGTTTTCTTAGTATTAAAAAAAAAAGGCAGAAAAGGCTTGATGGCTCATGGCTATTATCTTAGCTACCCAAGAGACTCAGATGTGAGGATTGAGTTTCCAAGCCACCTTGATGAGAAAATTTGGGAAATTCCTATCCTTTAATAAGCTCTGAAAAGGACAAAAGTGAAGCTTTGGCTCATGGTAGAGAAATAGCTGTGGGCAAAATAGCTCAGAGACAGCAGTCAGGCCCTGAATTCAAGCCTCAGGACTGGCACAAAAGCAAACAAACAAAGAAACAAAAACATTGAGTAAGAAGGCTGTTAATTCATCTTTTCCACCTGGGAGTGAACACTCCAGTTATCAAAGAAAGCTATTAAAAATGAAATGAGTTTTAGAAAATTTGGCCATCTGATAACAGATATGAAGATTAACTGGCTACACTAAATGTGAAAGTAGGAATAAAAATTTAAAAATAGCCAGTTAGTTTCTTTTTTTTCCTAGTAAGAAAACACTTCTATTATCCATAACAGCTTATTTTTTAAGGCAGTGAAATGGAAGACTGTCATTTCAGGAAGTAACTTATTTTCAGTTGTGAGAACAAAATATTTTGAATATTGAAATTGGCTTTTGAAGATGGCTTTACTTGAAAATAATCTGTTTCCCATATATTATGCAATTGCTTCTTGGTTGGAAGAAAAGTATGCAATATAACTGAAGGAGGTAAAGCTCTTGTGTGTGAATTGACTTTTTTATTTATTTTTATTGTCATTGTGGTTTTTTATTTTGTGAAGAGTTTTCAGGGGTTGAGCTATGTTATACCCATATTACATAAAGTCATTTAGTGTACCATACATTGAGCCTATATTATGTTAGCAAATAAAAATTGTGCACTATTTTTCATCATGATTTAGTACATAGGTTTTGCTATATTTATATTATGTATTGAATGTTTTTCAATGAGTAGTCCTAGTTAAGTCTTTTAAGTAGATTATTAAAAACATGGTTATACTCTTTTGTAAGAACAAGGTAGGCCAGGTACACTGACTCATGCCTGTAAACTTACCTACTCAAGAAACAAGATATTCAGAGCATAAGAGTCTAAGGCCTCATTTCAACCAACAAGTTGGGTGCTTTGTGCACCTATGTGATTCGAGCTATGGGAAGGTGTAAATAGGTCCAGAGAAAAATGTAATCCCTTATTACTAACAGAAAAATACTGGGAATATGGCATGGCTCAAGTTGTAAAGTACCTGTAACATACACATAACTCTGCTTTCAAGCCTCAGCATTGCAAGTCAACATTGAATGTTTGATTATAAAAAGGTCATTAGTTTCTTGTCACACATTTTGTGAGTCAGGTTTTTGTTGCTTTTTGGGGTTAATATTGTCCGTGAAAATAGTTGATACTATGTTATGTATAACTTTTCTAATAAAAGTTGTGTTTATAAGCTGTAACAAAACATAATCATATTCAGTCAGTTGACCACTGTTGGCTAAGCCTTAAGTGATCAATGATAGTCCTCTAAGTGATAGTTCTCTAAATGCTAAAAGTAAAATGCATCTGCTCCAACACACAGCTAATTGTAAACCTTCTATTGATGCAGGACAAAAGTCACTGAATGAGTTTGAAATCAGTAAACCTGGAAGAGAGTGGCAAGTTCATAATATAATGCACAAAACATACCATTTCTTAAAGTCTTGAGACTTGTAACATTAATCTCACATAGAAAACATTAGGGAAAGTCTTTGTACTAGGCAACTATAACTTCTGGGAATGTCTATACCTAACTTCCAGTTCTAGGAAGGAGAGTAATAATGCAGATTGAGTCCATTATTAATATTGAATAAATTGATGTAACTTATATCAGATTCTGATGGTAAATAGAGAGAGAATAAAACAGAAGGAGTGAAGATATTTTCTATCAATGGATATTCTGATTCTAATAATATTCCAACCCTAACTTTCCTCCTGAAATGCTTTGCACACATTGGAGCTGAAGAATTCGAAGTTCAGCATATCCCAGACCAAACAATACTGTAATGCATAAAGAATTAATTATTCATTACTTACAAAAGTTTTGTTTTCCAGTAATAATGTGGTAGTATTTGTTTCTATATTCAGTTTGACCACATGTCCATTCTCACTTTTATACACCACATCTGTATCTGCAAAGACAAAGACAAATACATTGACGAGGTGATAGAATAGCTGATATGAAAGCATGCATAATAAACAGATACATCATAAGAGTCAGGGTTAATCTTCAATAACCCAACCAGATTTCTGAATCTGGCCCACAGTAATTCTCTTGAAAGTTCAGGAAGCCCACTTAACACATGGACCACTGTGCAATGAACACAGGATCAGTGAGAGGGCTTTTTAAACTCGTGGCTTAACAAATATAAACTAATTAAAATATGGGCAATCAGCTGCCTATTCTCAGGTCAGAAAAACTATTTCATTAGGAAATCCACCTGGTATTTTCATCCATACCAGAATGTGCAATTGGGGTCTCACATGTTCCCTTGACTTGCTTGCTCAAACATGGCATTATTTTACTCGAACCTTGTGTCCTGCCCTCCTTTTTACTGGTTAATTTTGGAGATAAATTCTCACAGAATTTTCTTCCCAGATCTGCAAGATCTCAGCTTCATGAGTAGCTAGAATTATAGGCATATAATTCTGAGTGACCGATGATTTAATTTTGTTTAACTTTACAAGGAGTGCCAATTATCTATACTATGTCAATTCTGCTGATAGAAAACCACCCTAATGAAGGATTAGAAATCTTCTAGTCCTTCTCAACCACTCAGTTGCTAGTCATCCATTTATCTTTGGGATAGAGATTTTGTAAATGGAAATCTCCTTTTCAGTTTCACCTAACTCTTATCATGGTATGCCAAATATCTCTCTTACACACTGACAATTCTAGGAAGGGAGATATTGAGTCCATTATTAACACTGAGTAAGTTACATGAGCCAAAAGTTTCCCAGAATCTGAATGTTTTAATGGCATTCTTGGGAAAAGTATTGTATTGGTAGATTACACAACTTATTGAAGTTATGTGTGTAGAAAGATCTGACAATCTAACAAGCAAAAAATTCTCATTTCTTCTCCAGTTATTCCACAGTTTAACTAGCTACATTTAATGAAATTTAAAACTTTGGCTGGGGGGGGATGGGAGGGTAGGAAGGATAAGGGGAAACAAAGGAAGAGGCAAAAATGCTTGATCAGAAATATACTCATTACCTTGCTTATGTAATTGTAACCCCTCCATACGGTATTTTCACAATAAAAAAACTTATTTATTAAAAAAATCTAAAAAGATTTAAGGATTGAGACCTGAACTCCAAATTGAATTTTTTTCAAGTCAACTATATTTTTTTAGATTAATAATTTATAATATTACTTTGTGAATTATTTGAAAATCTTAGTATATCTGTCCTCATTCCATTCTTTTAGTTTTTTATCTATTAATTATAATCTTGGCTCTTGGTTCTCTTATTTACTTTACCTTACCCTTGGATATATTATCATTAGAGCAATCTGAGATTTTTCTTGATAGAATAATAAATCACATCCCTTCTAAATAGTTTCTCTCATATTTTGTTAGAAGAATTAGAGGAATATTAGTGAATCAGTTTAGGGAATAATGTGAATTAATATAGGAAAATTAAGCTGGATATACTTGCAGCATGTCTGTACCATGGTTTGATTAATCTTTCTTTCTTCCTAGATATTACAAGTTAGAGCCAATTATCCTAAACACAGACCCAACTCAGGAAGTGGCTTAAAATGAAAAAAGTGACAAAATAAAATTAATGCCTACTGATCTAACCATGTTTTCAAGTCTAAAGCACCCCAAATAATTATTACCTCTACTTTGTCAAGTTCTTCTGTTCATAGTTTTAACAACAATAAGACCAACATCCTTACTGAGAATTCAAGTAAGACCCAGTATATGGTAGAGAAAACCCACGATCTCAGTACTTGGCAGACTGAGATAGAAAGACTCTCAGTTCTAGACAATCTTAGGCCACATAGCAAGAACACACACAAAAAAGAGCCAGCTGTGGTGATGTACACCTTTAATCTTAGCTCTGTGGGAGAGAGATTTAGGAATTCAAGGCTATCCTCATCAAAAAAGATAGTGAATAGACCACATTTTAGGTCACAAAGCAAATTTGTCCATTTTTAGAAATGTTGAAATTATGCCCTGCATTCTTTCTCTCAGACCACAAAGGAATAAAATTAGAACTCAACACCAAAAGCCACCAAAGAAAGTCTTGTAACACATGGAGGCTAAACAACACATTGTTGAACCACCAGTGGGTCATGGAAGAGATTAGAAAGGAAATTCAAATGTTCATGATATTCAACAAAAATGAACACACAAATTACCAGATCCTCTGGGACACAGCAAAGTCAGTACTCAGAGGCAAGTTTATAGCTCTGAGTTCCTACATCAACAAATTGGAGAAATCTGAACCCAATAACTTGATGAGACACCTGAAGCTCCTTGAAAAAAGAAGCAAAGTAAACCCAAATCCAGTAGATGGAAAGAAATAATAAAATGAAATCAGAATTAAACGAATTAGAATCCAAAAATAAAATAGAAAGAATCAACAAAACAAAGAGTTTGTTCTTGGAAAGAAATTAACAAAATTGACAGACCCTTAGCAAATCTTATCAGGAAAAGAAGAGAACACACCCAAATAAACAAACTCAGAGATGAGAGTGGAAACATCACAACAAAAAAGTGAATATTTCTCAAACCTTTATGCTAACAAGTTTGAGAATGTGGAAGAAATGGATGGTTTTCTAGCAAATATTGACATGCCAAAATTAAACCAACTTAACAGACCCATGTCAAGCATCAAAATAGAAACAGCAATAAGAGATCTCTCACCCAAGAAAACTCAGGACTGGATAAATTTACAGCTGAATTCTACAAGGCCTTCAAAGCAGAACTCATGCCAATACTCCTCCAACTCTTCAAAGAAATTGAAATTGAAAGTCTACAACCAAACTCGTTATATGAAAAACCAGACAGGGACTCATTAAAGAAAAAGAACTGTAGACCCATTTCTTTGATAAACATTGATGCAAAATTTCTCAACAAAATTTTGGTCAATCTACTTCAACAACTCATCAAAAAATCACACATCACGATCAAACAGGATTCATTTCAGGGATGCAAAGCTGGCTCAATATATGCAAATCAATTAATATAATTCATTATATCAACAAGAGCAAGGATAAGAACCACATGATTATCTCAATAGAATCAGTAAAAGCATTTGACAAGATCCAACACCCTTTTATGATGAAGGCTCTGGAAAAACTAGGAATTCATGGAACATTCCTCAATACAAAAAAGGCTGTGTATGACAAACATATAGCCAGCATTATTCTTAATGCTGAAGAACTAAAATCATTTCCTCTAAACTCAGGTACAAGATAAGGATGACCACTCTCTCCACTTCTCTTCAATTTAGTATTAAGAATTTAGTATTGCCTAGTTACAGCAATAAGATGAGATGCAAATATAAAGTGGATCCAATTAGGGAAAGATGAAATCAAACTCTCCATCTTTGTAAATGACATGATCCTATATTTAAAGAATCCCATGGACTCCACTCCCAAATTATTTAAGCTGATTCAAAACTTTAGCAAAGTAGCAGGGTATAAAATTAACCCTCAAAAATCAATGTCTTTTCTGTATGCCAACAATGAGAATAGCACTACTGAAATCAGGAAAGCAACTCTTTTTGTAATAGCCTCACACAAAAAAATAAAATACCTTGGAGTTAACTTGACTAAAGAAATAAAGGACCTCTATGATGAAAAAATCAAAAACCTAAAAAAGGAAATTAAAGCAGAACTAAGGAAGTAGCAAAACCTGCCATGCTCCTCGATTGGGAGGAATTAACATAGTGAAAATGGCAATACTTCCCAAGGCTATCTACAAATTCAATGCAATACCTATCAATATTCCAATTTAATTCTTCAATGAAATTGAAGAAGCAAACCCAAAAATTCATATGAACAATGAAAGATCCTGAATAGCAAAAACAAGCCTCAGCAGAAAGAACAGTGCTGAAGGAATATCAATACCAAATTTCAAACTCTACTACAAAGCCATAGTAATTAAAACAGCTTGGTAATGGCACAAGAACAGACCTGAGGGCCCATTGAATAGAACTGAAGACTCAGAATGAACCCGCAGATCTATAACCGCCTAATCTTCCATAAAGGAGCTAAAAAAAATAGAATGGAAGAAAGATAGTCTCTTCATTAAATGGTTCTGGAAAAATTGGTTAACCGCATATAGAAAACTAAAACTAGATCCTTATGTATCACACTGTACCAGAATCAACTCCAAACGGGTCTAAGACCTTGAAGTCATAGCAGACACTCTGAAAACCTTACAGGAAGGAATAGGAGAAACTCCAAGGCTCCTTGGCACAGGCCAAAATTTTCTTAATAAAGATCCAGAAACAAAATAAATAAGAGTTTGGACAAATGGGATTGCATGAAACTGCAGTTTCTGCATGGCAAAGGACAAAGCTAGCAAGATAAATAGAAAGTCTACAGACTGGGTGAAGATCATCACTAGCCATACAACTGACAAGGGTTTTATATCTAAAATATACTTAGAAATCAAAAAACAATATTCCACTACAACAAATCCTCAAAGAAACAACTGCCTACTAAATAAATGGGCTAAAGACTTAAAGAGAAATTTCTCTGAAGAAGAAATAAGAAGGGCCAATAGACACATGAAGAAATGCTCAACTTCTCTAGCCATAAAAATAATGCAAATCAAAACAACATGGACATACCACCTGACCCTGGTTAGAATGGCTATAATCAAGAACTCTAAAAGAACAACAGATGCAGGAGGGGATGTGGCCAGAAAGGAACCCTACTGCATTGTTGGTGGGAGTGTAAACTTTTTCAACCACTTTGGAAAGCAGTATGGAGGTTCTTCAAAAGACTTCACAGAGGAGGGCGGACCAAGATGGTGACGCGGCAGTAGGAAAATGCCACAGCTCTCCCCAAACAAAAAGAGAGTTCGAGTTCCAATGCTTTATCTCCCCAAGATACCCACAACAACAAAAAGATGAACACCCAGAGAAAAACAGGAGGCGGGGGAAAAAA